TCTGATGGTGATTATAAAGTTTCCCATTTCTCTGCTTGTATAGAAATTAAGGTGAAGTTTTTACATTCTTTCTTGTTAATCTTCTCTATACATTGTAAGGCATCTTCTATTTCCTCAAAAGTAAAAGTTGTCCAGGTGTTTCCATTGAGGAAGTCTTTTTTAAATAGTAGCATATCTTTAAGTAGACTCAAGACACCTTGAAAATAGCCTAATCGTTCTTTTTCTATATCTCCTGATATTCTGGAGGTAAGAATTCTAATCTTGAATTCTCTCTTCTTGATGATATGAAATGGATTTAAACTGGATGGCTTGGATTTGTTTCATATATTGTAGGAGATTTGTTTTACTATATTTTCTCCTTCAACTCTTTCCTGAATGTTTACCATTTCAAGTTCTTTCTCCAGCTCTTCCTTCATGTTCTTGTCATTCATTTCAACTTCAATATTATTTGAAATTTCAATAATGATTGTTGATTAAACTTCCATGTTCTCATTTGAAGTAATATTCTCAACTAAAGTTGAGTTTCCTAATATGGAGTTTATAAACTCACCCTTGGTCTAAAAATTTTCTGGAGTATGGAGGAGGTGACTATTTGTGAAGATATCTTGCTTCAAGATGCGTTTGACTTTTTCTTTCAAGAAAGGTGCCATAAGGTCCTCTTCTTTTTCTTGACCTTGTGTCTATAAGTATAGAATATGTGTTTTAAGGACCTCTGCTTTAATGAATGTAGTTGGATCTATATTTAAAAATTTTGCAAGAATACTATTGAGTATTAAGTATTCTGTTAGTCCTGGTGTCTGATTAAACTTGTCTTATGTGATAAGAGTATTGAAATGATTTGGATAACCTATGTCTCTTTCCTCTGGTCATGTTTTTCAACTATTCTAACTATTGTATCGAGGATGTGTAGTTCTCTCTTCTTGGCAATTTGCATGATTCTCCATTCTTTTTTCATATTGGTTATGTGAAATAAAGAATAAAATATTGATTTGTTGTTTTGTTTATTCTTAATTTGTTTATTTGTTTATATTTAGCAAGGTACGTGGAATTGATTGTTTGTTGTCTTGTTTGGTGTTTTGTTTACTTGGATGAGTTATTGATCTTTTCTGTTTAGTTCTTGTTTATTTTCTGGATTTGATGTTGATCTTCTTTGTTATAAAAATCAGTCGTTTATCCATAGATACTTGATAAACCTTGTTATATTGTTTTGATGTTAAATTGTTTAACATATATGTATTCACGCAACTTGTTTTGATGTTTAAACAGATATGTATGGAATCAGAGTACTCTACTGCTTAGTCCTTGAAAGCCTTTGATGTTCTTCTGGACTTTGCAAGCTTTGAGTTTTTCTAATTTATTGAGAGAAACTATTATTTGTAAAGTTCCTTCTAGTGCCTAGAAAGGTGTAAATTGATACTGACCTGACTAGAAGCTTGGGAAGTTGATATTGGTCTCTCCTAAGCTTACTGTGAATCAGCTTGCAGATGTGTTTTCCTTTCCTTGTAAAGTAAAGCTAATGTAATACTATACTGCCAAAACTTCTTTTAATTGGTAAAGTGATCTCTTAGGAAAATGGTTGATGTTTTAATTTGTTATTAAGTCTTGAATCTTTGAGAAATAAGATATTTTTAGACTGGCTTCTCTTTTCCAAGAAAATTACCAAAAAAAGAAATTTTTAAGGAAAAAGGAGATCAGTGGAAAGAGTTATATATTTTATAAATATCAATATATTAATTATATTTTCTTATCTTTTATTTATTATTTATAATATAAATTAAGTTTTATTCATATTTACTATTATGTGAGATACTATATAATATGTATTGAATATGATAAGTTCTATATTGTTACATAACTATTATTTTGTTCAATTATAATATTTTTATATGTTTTTTATATTTATTAATTTATCAATAATCTATATTTGAAATATAAATAAACTTATAATATTGTTGCCAAAATATATCTGTTTTAAATAATATAAAAAAATCTTATTGTTTTTATTTATTTATATCAATAATCTTATTTTAATGGTCCTTACTATTATAATATTTATATAGAAAAACAATTAACTTGTTTTGATAATAAGTTATATGAATTTATTATAATTGGTCTTCTTTATATATTTGCATTTATATAATAAAATTTAAAATAGATTTATTATTTTGATATATATTAAATTGTTTTGTCTTTAGAGAGCTTTGATATTCTTTTAGACCTTAAAATAATTGAAACAATTTGATTTATTAAGTAAACTTAGTTTCTTTTGAGATTCCTTATAATATTAAAAAGGTATTAACTTGTATTGATCTGGTTATAAGCTGTGTGAAGTTAATATGGACTTACCTATTTCAATTATGAATTGGTTTTCAATTATCTTTTCTTTCTTCTAAAAATTTTAAAAAAAAGAAATATAGAAAAATTGTCAGTAAAATCAGTTGTACATCTATCTTTAATATATAGAAGGTTCACTATATAAGTATTTTATTAATTAAAAAATATTTTTATTTTTAAAATATTATATTATTTTAAAAAAATTTTTAATAATATTTATTAAAATTAAGATTTTTTTTTATTTCTATTATAAAAATTGGATTATTTTATATATTGATCATTGGTCTACAGTAATGACCTGTAGACAATGATTTTATTAATTAGAGGATTTATCCAAATTAGTAAAGGAGTGAAATATTATTCCCTAGGTTGCATTTAGAGAAATAATTTTTCGACGACGAGTGAGTCAGTATGTGAAAGTCACAATAATTTGTAAATACCTAGCATATATATAATAAAGACATGCCATGCTGACCTGACTGCGGGTTAAAATATATATATATATATATATATATATAATATATTAATTTTTTATAAATAATTTGTTTGTAAAATAAATTAAATATTATTTATATACTAGTTTTATAAATATATTTATATTATATAGTTTAAATCTATGGGTCCATAGTGCAGTGGTTAGCACTCTATAGATTAGATCACAAAATCCGGTTTCAATTTCACCTAAATATACAACAGATCGAGGAATTAAATCCGTCCATTGGCATAATCGTAAACTAACTGATGTTTCTAAATATAGCATCCGATCTATATCTATATTATGATCAGGTTGTGATCTGAATCGAATAGAATCATCATTAACACAACCGCGTTATCAGAAATGGTTGCAAAAAGAGTAGATTTTCAAACTGGTAGCATGCCTCTCAGGATTAAAACAAAAAAACAACTCGTCCGGAAACACAAATGGCTTCATACAAAAACTCATATGCATGAAAAGGACTCTTTTAATTTAAGTCAGTCCTGGTTCTCATGCATGTGGCTGTGCTGGGTTTTACAGACTTGACTATCGGGAGGCCTTGGTGGGAGGAGAAATTTGCAGACTACTCCGAAGGATCAAAAACTGAGATCCAGGATACTGAATTCGACGGCTTGATAACTAGAATACTTTTAAGAAAAAATTGTTCTAAAAATAATTAAGACGGAATCGCGCAGGCTTCCAGTTTGTGGTTGGGCTGGTAGTGGAAGTACATAGTATTAGTTTAAATATATATATAGATATGATTTACTATAACATATATGTACAACTATCCATTTGTAATAACATAATAGTTTCAATTAATAAAATTACAAATTAAGCCTATGGTTCAGATTCATCAACCACACAAGCCATCAAATCCTTTGAGTCAGATCCAGAGTTTGAACGAGTTCAAATAGATCTGAACAAATACTTTAAGAACAGGTTTGGGAAACTATACATAGAACTTACAAATATTATAACAGGAAATATCCTTAAAAACAGTTACTTCCCTTTCTTTTTTTTTTCAATCAATATTAGTGCTAGTGAAGTTTTGATACACTAGCGCCCATCAAGGTGAACTGCAGCAAGTCACAGGATTTCTAGTAACAGAATACTGAGTCATAGTGTTTTTTTTTATTTTTGTAAATGTATAGACTCACAATTAAATTTGTGTATATACTGTAAGCCTGCATTAATGAATAAATAAAAACTTAATGATAGAACTTCATCAGTTAAAAAAAAAAAAAAAAAAAAAAAAAAAAAAAATTTATATTATATAGTTTAATATTAATACATAAAATATAATAATTTTAATATATTTTCATTTATTATCTTAAATTTTTTAATGTTTTTTTAAATTTTGCAAATTTTGAATCATAATTAATTTATCAGTTAAAACTATTATTCTATAAGATTTCTTATAATATTTAAAAAGATATTATTTTATATTGTCTAATTAAAAGTTAAAAGAATTTATATTGGATTTCTTGAACTTATTGTGATTTAACTTTTTTTGTATTTGATTTTTTTTTTCATAAAAATTTTGTATTGGTAATAGTATTAATACTTCAAAAAATTGATACTTACTTAATTTTTTGTTTAAGATATTGAAGATTTTATTCAAGGATTTGAAAATTAAAAAATAAAAATGATTTTTTATTAATCTATTCTTTTTTTAAAAAAAGTTTTTTTTTTAACTATAATATTAATTATAAGTAATATAAAAAATTATATAGTATATAGTTATCTAAAAAAAAAAAAAAAAAAAACAAAATTTATTTTTTATTATTTAAGAACTTACAGAACTTACAGTGTATTTATTATTTAAAAACTTTCACGTGTCCAGTAGTTACGATTTAATCAAAAATAAAGTTACAAGTTTCATATTTCCCTTGCACCACCAAGTGCACCAATAGAATAAACAATAAAATTTTTTTTATTCATTTCACAATTGTTTGAAAATGGTTCATGTGCGCACTTAGATACGTTTACTATCAAAAAGATTAAAAAGGCTTGTGATTTTCTATAATAGTTAATTCACAGGATCTACCCTTAATAATAATAGATGAAAGAGTTTTTTTTTTTTTTTTTAGAATTCCAACTCTTCACCACAGGTATTATTATTATATTTTGTGGAATTAGATAAAGGTATTCTTTCCTATATAGGAATTTTCTTGTGATGAAAACCACAATGGAGTCTTCATATAAAGATAAATCGAAAACCACAGCGAGTAAAGACGATAAAAAAGCCGAAAGAAAAGCCAAACTTGAAAAGCTGGCAGCTGAAGCAAATTTGAAAGCTACACTAAAAGAAAAAAAAATTTTTGGTAAAATTAATAAAAAATCAGACAAAAAAAAATCAAAATCGTCTCATAAAACCGACAACCCTCGGAGCGATATTAAGCAGTTCAAGAAAAGCGAGGAGAAAAAAAGAAAATGGATTGAAGACGACGAGGATTCTCTTTCATCCTCGACAGAAATAACTAGGGCTAAAAATCGAAAAAGTAAGGTTAGCGATAGCGATTATAACGATTCCGGCAGCAGCAGTGAATCCAGCACGGACGTAAAACATAGTAAAAAAAGTAAAGTCAATCGACTACGCGATGAAAAAGAACTAAAAAACAGTAAGAAAGATAAGAAAAATGAAAAAGAACATAATGAGTGGGAAATTAAGATTCGAGAAAAGGAAGATAAGGGACATAATAACGGTATCAGCAAGAAAAATAGCAAAGATTCAAAGAACAAGATAGAACTCTCTATGAAAAAATCACTGAAAAGAAAACAGACCCTGGGTTCAGACGAAGACAGTGACAGCAGCCTGACCGACGTGAGTAGCACTACCGAGGACGATAGTGACGATGATAGTGAAGAAGAGCCCAAGGGAGTACCGCAGAATTTGGTACCCATCGTTGTCATAGATAATAATGTTCGATACACTCAACCTTATTCACAATCGGAGGTCTCCAAGTTCTTCGAATGTAACTCCATTCAAGTCATTGGGGGCCACGACTTCAATCCAATCACGTCGTTTTCGAAATTAACTATAGACAGAGATATCAAACGCGTTCTGTCAAAATTTGAGAAGCCAACACCAATCCAAGCGACATGTTGGCCAATCTGTTTAGGTGGAAAAGATGTGATTGGTATTGCTGAGACCGGGTATTTATTATATTCATGACCATTGTTTGAATATCTTGTCCAATTCATAAGTTTCTACCTTTGTTGCATTCAAATAGTTCGGGAAAAACTTTGGCTTTCATTGTTCCGGCCATTGTGCATATCAAAAACAAAAGTAGTGAAATTTACCCCAACAATAAACCAACTGTTCTCGTAATTTCTCCAACACGTGAATTGGCTATGCAAATACAAGAACAATGTCTTTTGTTCGAAACTACATGCGGTATCAAAAGCGCATGCATTTACGGTGGAATATCCAAAGATGGTCAACGTAGACAGCTGCGCAAAGGTGTTCACATAATTGTAGCCACACCCGGCAGGTTACTCGACCTGATTGATGAAAACATTTGCGACATCAGCAGGGTTTCCTACCTTGTTCTTGACGAAGGTGAATTTTTTGGATTTGATCTTGGAGTCACCTTTTTTTTCTCCTCTAATATAGCACTAATATCGTTGTATTTTTAAGCTGATCGTATGCTTGATAAAGGTTTCGAGGACAACATACGTACCATCATACGCAAGACGCGTAGGGACCGTCAAACTGTTATGTTCTCCGCAACTTGGCCAGAATCTGTTCGCAAATTGGCCAATGATTACTTGACGCGCCCCATTAGGGTCACTATCGGTTCACAAGATTTGTCTGCAAATAATAACGTAACCCAGATAGTCGAAGTGGTAGAAGATAAGGATAGAGATAAATTACTTGTATCACTCTTAGAAAAATATCATAATCGAAGGAATCGAGTGTTGGTATTTGTTCTTTACAAGAAGGAAGCCTCACGCGTTGAAAACATGTTGGCAAGCAAAGGATACGAAGCACTCTCCATTCACGGTGATAAAAGTCAATTCCAACGTTCAGAAGCTTTAAAAGCTTTTAAAGATGGAATTTATCCACTCTTAATTGCTACGGATGTCGCGGCTAGAGGTCTGGATATTCCCGACGTAGAATACGTAATCAATTACTCATTTCCCTTGACCATAGAAGATTACATCCATCGTATTGGGAGGACTGGACGTGCCGGAAACAAGGTAACGGGTCAATGTAATTTTCAAAATATGAGATCATCGTTCCTGAAGTTTTTCATGAAATTACCTCTAGGGAGTTTCCCATACATTTTTCACCTCACACGATAGAGTTCATTCGGGTGAACTTATTAATGTCTTACGCCAGGCCGATCAAAATGTACCGGAGTCATTACTTAAATTCGGAGGTGGCGTTAAAAAGAAAGAACACAAAGCTTACGGTGCATTCTACAGGGAGATCGATCCTAATTTAAAACCTAAGAAAATCAAGTTCGAAGATTGAGAACGATTGTTACTGTTTTTGTTTTTTTTTTTCTTTTGAGATTTTGAAGGCCAAGGTAGGAATATTGTACATAATTTGTTTCTAGTTGAAAAAAAAGGTAATATTTCTTTTAAAAACAACAACAAAAAAAAAAAATATATATATATATATATATATATACATATATATATACAATTTTTATTACGTTTCTGCCTAGCTTTAAAAATCTTACGTCCAATAATGAATGACGCCGTGTTCCATCCTTAATATAACGGAAACACGGTATATGTATATTATGTATTGCGAATTTGGATTTCAAATGGTCAATAATAAAACATAATTTGTTTCAAGAAATCGTAAGTTTGCTACCATCGATGCACCTTGGTGGAAAAACAAAAAAAAAAAAAGTGAGTGAAGAGCTTGCTTAAAATTATCAATCTGGTGTTGGGAAAAATACATCAATAGTGTATATATTTGATATTTAGCGCATTCATTGACCCGAGGTCGAACGAACGAATTAATAAATTGTTATTGGGTCGCTCGCTGCCTTCGGATGAATAAAATAAAAATTTGAGCAAGTATATACACGGAACAATCTAACGAAAATGGTTTAGAGAAAATTCCATAAGAGCGTTGATACTTTCTGGATTTTTTTTTTTTTTTGAAAAAAAAAAAATCTATATCTATATAATACAATTTTAAAAGATAAGAAATATAGCCATATAAATATTTTAATGCATCTTGGATTTACAAATTCGAAAAATTATACTTCGATACATTAAGGAATTTTTATTATCTAAAAAAACCAATTTATTTTTACAAAAAATTGTTTGCAATTACAAATTTCGCTTAATAAAATATATATATATATATATACTGTATATGCTGTATATTACTAATTACTTATTACTATTTCGATATTTATTGATAGGCCTAATAGCATCATTTTATTTCTACGATATACACAAGAATATGTGATAAAATAAAGTTTGATATTCGTGATCTTTTATGGGTTGTGTGTGTGTGTGTGCACCTCTTTAATATCCATTCCGACCATTACACATTTAATTAACTCGCACATAACGATAACGGTAAATTGACATAGCGATGCGTAATAATAAATTAATGACGAAAAACACTAACAATTGACATTCTGAGAATTTCCTAAAGTATTTGCCGATTAGCCAAAATCGACTAAAATGCTCCTTTCGGAAATAATTATTTGCGGACAAGTATATCACCGATTGTAACCACGAAAAGATTTCAATTACTGCTGTTATTATGTACAATGTGCGTTTTGCCAAAAATAACGAAACGTGACCTGGGGAATTCACAATTCGTTTTTTTTTATGTCGTAGTTATGATTCAACAAAAAAAAATAGATAACAAACATTTAAGATGGAGAGACAATAAGGATTTTTTTTTCCCATGAGACCGATATTTTGTAATCTTAAAGGCATTGTTTATTTAAGGTGCGTGTGTGCAACGCAAATAGCAAACAAAGGGGCACAGTTACTTGACATTCCTGGTTTTTTTTTTTTTTTTCTTTTTTTCTAACCCATTCTCGAAAAGGTTTATTCTCCTTTCTTACTCGCTACTTGGGCATTGCTTTTTTAGAATAATTCAAAGATAGATGTTATCGGTCGCAACTTCTTCGCTATCAGCCCTACCTTCAACCATAAGGGATTCCTTTTCCAGGAGTACTTCTGATAACGAGCAATCTAAAGGAGCGCCAGACGAGTCGCAAAAACAATCTGGACCAATGCTCCATGAAAATAAACCAGATTCTTCAACGTCCTCACGTTCCAATGATTCGAATGGAAACTCCAACCTCAGCTCTCACAAGATTCCAGCAATCCCAATTGCAGGTGATCAGCAGCGAAAGATTGACGAAGACGGTTCTTCTACCACCTGGCAAGACAATCTGGCTGGATCCAGACCGCCAACAACAAATTTGGATATCACAACGATAACAACCACTACCACCTCAAACTCTCCTGCCTCTTTAAATATAGAGCATTTCGACTTTAAAGAAAATGAGGTTGGCACCCCTACAGTTGAAGACAATTCTTCTCAGCTACCCATAATAAATTCACCGGAAGAACAAAATACAACGCGAAATCAACCACAACCACAAAATAGTAATAATAATAATAATAATAACAATAATAGTCCTGGGCGCCGTACCTTTAAGCTGCCTACAAAAAGGAGGAAGAAGCGCAGCACGTTCGGAACGGATAGTGTTTTGGATGATTCGTCGTTTTACATGGACTCACCATCTATTGGTGGTTTCGCTCCAGCGAATCCAAAAAGAAATGCTGAATTTCACGCATTGTTTCGGAGCGTTCCAGAAAATGATTATCTTATCAATGGTATGCATATAGATGGTTCCAATATTAACGAATGATTAGATCGCAAGTCATAACAGGTTTTCGATTTAGATTATGGATGTGCGTTGCAAAAAGAAATTCTTGTACAGGGACGTTTGTACATCTCTCAGAACCATGTGTGCTTCAATGCAAACATTTTTGGGTGGGTCACGAATGTGCGTAGTTCAAGTCATTATTGGTCATTATTGTTTGTTAACACAGATGAGTGAATAACGAGAATGCATCTTTAGTTGGTCATAGCTTTTGGGGACATTGTTTCAATTGAAAAGAAGATGACAGCATTTGTAATTCCGAATGCAATTTCAGTATCGACTCTTCATGCGAAAGTAAGTCACATCAACATTTTCGAATGATATCCTTTTGGCAAAGTATCTAATTTCTTTCGTTCTTACAATATTCCTTGCTTGTATATATAGCATTTTTTCACTTCTTTCTTATCAAGGGACACTGCGTACGAATTACTACGGTCATTGTGGCGACAAACGCATCCGGCTCTCCCGTCCTTCACAGAGTCCGAATATGCTCCCAATAAGAGCTCGGAAGAATTGAATGCATCTTCAGAGTCATGTGCGGAGAGTAGTGAAGAAGGTAATGATTAATTTTGGGTAAAATTGTAAGTAAAATTATTTTGGGGATTAACATCTACCCGATACACAAGAAAAACCGACGGATACACGTAGAAAATTTGGATTGCCTAAACTCACGCTTCCAATGAAATTTATGCGTAATGGTGGAGCCGCGTTGTCCGAGGATGAACGACAAATTCCAAATGATCTTGGCCAGCACGAGAGTAAGGTTCATTCATTACCATCATCTCCCCAAAAAAGCGAATTTGACGAAAAATCATTGTTAAAAGGATCAAAAGGGCATAGGCCGAGATCAAAATCGGTCACCGAATTACAATCACCCGTCTCTGATTTGTCAGCTTCGGAGATTCGTTCCCCGCGAACTCAATCCCGTAATTCAATGAGAAACGGCACAATTGCAAGAAAACGGAGGTATCCCACACAGTGCGCATGTTTAAAGAACAATCAACATTATGATACAGTATCCATAGATGCAAAGGTCACGGGGACGGTGGAGAAGTTATACAACCTATTGCTCACAAGCGAATTTGTAAATCGGTACTTAGAAGAGGAAGAAAAATGTTCTGGTATGCAAGTAATCGTTTCTATTTTAATCCATAAAACGAAAGCGACAAAGTCTTTACTACATGGCGGAATTAATATTTTTAATATACATGTGTATTCGCGTGCCTCAGATATCGATTTTGGCGAGTGGAAAACGGTGGATGACAAATTGACTCGGTCCTCAAGTTACATAAAACCGTTAAATAATACGATAGGTAAAAAGAATAGGAACTTTAATTTCAATTCACCCGTTTTATTTACCTCATTTCTCTTTGTAACTTTTTTTTTTTTTTTATTATTGTTATGATTCTTTTCTTTATTGATTTTAGGTCCAAAGAGCGCAAAATGTTATATCGAAGATGAGGTTTTGAATCGAGATTTTGACAAGTTAGTTCTACTGAGGAGTTGACTAGTTTTTTTCACGCCATCTCAAAAAAAATTAACGTATTTTATGGTTCAATGATCAGTTATGTCACAAGCGTATCAACAGTGACCACGCCGGATGTACCTTCTGGTAACAGTTTCTGTGTGAAAACGAGAACGTGCATCATGTGGGCAGGGCCTAATGAAACAAGAATAATCGTGACATGTGCGGTGGAGTGGTCTAAATCCAGTTGGCTCAAGGGTATTTAGAGAGAGAAGGGTTGCATGTGTGTGATCTTTATTTTTCCTTTTTAAACTAATGCGAATCCACGTGCAATAGGGACCATTGAAAGTGCATGTGTCGAAGGTCAAGCAACCCATTGGAAAAATCTCATACAATATATTAAAAAATATATTGCAGCACACCCTTCGGAATTTAAAGACGAATCAATGTCAGCTGGACGTGAACGTGCGGTTGCCGATTCCTCGGAAGTGATAGAGGAAAAGGTACATAGGCGGTCGGCCCCGATTCCACCACAGTTAAGTTCTCTTGAACAAACAGAACCGACCATAGCGCAGCGGCAAGCTGCAGGATTGTGGAATATTGTGTTTGAGATTCCAAGCATTCTATATTCAATACTTAAACCAATGATTCAAAATATTACCGTCCCATCAACAAATACGGTGATAATATTAGCCACGCTTTTCATGATGACAACTAATGTGTATAATTGTCTGCTTCTACGGGACATTGGAAGGCGGCTCGACAACGTGGCGGGAGGTATTTCGTCGTTTACTCCCACTGGAGAAAACGAGTTTAATAATCGTAATCAACGAGAAATATACTCGATGTTTGATGATCGGGTTGAAAACGAAGACGTTCTTTGGCAATGGCTAACCGAGAAGTCACGGAGATATGAGAATAGCGGACTTCACGACGATTCCGTGGACGATGCGGCATCCTCGCCTTCCCCATCCCCCCATGGTCAAACCGACTCTTCGTCGCTTGGCAGTGCATGCGATTATAACAAATCTCCTCACAATCTATATGAAGAGATTGAGAATTTACATAAGATGTTGTGGGCAGCCGAAAGCCGTGCAAAAAAGTTGATCGACGTCGCCGAGTACGAGAGTGCCTATTATCAGGAACAAGAGGGGAAAATTAAAAAACACGAATCGTAACAGCTCTTGCGTCTTTCTTTTTTTATCTTTTTTTTTTATTTTTATAAATTTTCTCGTTGCATCATGCATCCTTCTGATAAAAGAAAAAAATGCTTACAAAAATAAAAAAAAAATGGACATTTGCATCCGATTTTTTTTTTTTCGGTTTATTACGGGGTACGTTGAAGAAATACCGGACTTTTTTTTTTGAATTAATTCGATTTGCATTGGTTGCCCTACGAATTTGGTAATGCGATTGTACATCAATCATGCAGATTGTTATGATGACGCACAATGTCATGTCACCAATTGTTTTCAATTGGCCCAGTAGCGCCTTTGTGTAAAGAAGTAGGCCAGCGCTATTACAACTTAACAACACTGTCCTTGATAGTTGAATGAAAATATACTTTTTCCTTTTATTCATTAAATAAAAGTCGATAATCATATAAAAAAAAAGAAGTGAATCGCAATGGCTGACGTTAAACCGGTCGTCAAAAATGCCGATATGGCGGAAGAGATGCAAGAGAGGGCAATCAGCTGTGCACAATCGGCTTTGGAAAAACATAATATTGAAAAAGATATTGCGGCTCATATCAAGAGGGAATTTGATAAACAATACGGTACAACTTGGCATTGTATCGTAGGAAGAAATTTCGGAAGTTACGTGACCCACGGTAAGTCAAATTGAACGTGTCATTATCATTACAAGTTACTTCCAGATTTTCTTGGGGTGTTTCGTTCATGCGATCGTGCGCGCGGATCGTGATGAACTTCGGAGGTAGCTGCACAATAGTTGGGATCGAATGAAATCAGTAAACGCGTGCACGTTCAAACGCGTTCCCCGAAACTTGATCACATTCACTAACAAAAATATATCCCTTTTCCATATATTTTCGCTCTCACGTAATAAAGAGACTAGGCACTTTATTTATTTCTATATTGGCCAAATTGCCATACTCCTGTTCAAATCCGGATGATTCAATCAATCATGGATACCACCATTAGTCGATTTATCTTTTCCTTCCTCCTATTCAAGGAATTAAATGAAGGGAATCATGGATTGAGCATATTATTACTACTATATACTTTTTCCCTCTCCCTCGATAGATTACTCTGCTCTTAAATTTATCAGATTCTTTGTTATCTTCGCCCTCGTGATTTGTCAGTTTGTACAGAGATGTTTTTTATTACATACTTTTTCCGGTTTAATTAGAATTTCTAAACAATGCTGTATCAAGAAAATTCTGTCGCTAAACAAAAAAAAAAGAAATAAGAAAAATGTTCTCTTTGCATTTTGAGAAAGATCGTGGGATTCACTTTCTAGGTGTCAAATTTTCGACGTCAAGATGCGACACGTGCGCGCATTAAATTTTACAAACAATTTCCAACCTTCGTTTCCTATCGACATTATAACGTTGCACAAATTGCATCACGTGAGTGAAGTGCACACATATCGTAAAAAATGAAAAACGTAATCGAGCGTACTTTTAAAGCCGATCCTCCCAGATTAAACCTTTCGACATGAGTTCAATCGGAACCGGTGTAAGCTTATACTCTCGACATCGCATTGAAACGTTCACGAAGAGATCGATTAACGTTGATTCCTCTTGCACAGTATGATCTTTCTGTATCCACGTATTCGCCGGACGGTCGCGTTTTTCAAGTGGAGTATGCGGCAAAAGCTGTTGACAACAGCGGGTATTGAGGATTCTCTGTTGAACCTTTTTTTAATCGCAAGTTCAATAACAAATCACACGCTGAACGCCAATTTACATTTGACCGGTGAATGCTTTAGCACGGCGATTGGTTTGCGCGTTAAAGACGGCATCGTCTTGGCCGTCGAAAAACTTGTGCAATCAAAATTGTTAGTACCCGGCTCGAACCGTCGCATTCAAACTGTTGATACACATGTTGGAATTGTAAGAATGCGATTCGAGTTTCGTTCATGTTGCACGTTTGGTACCTCTGTGTCCGAAGGTCGAATCTTTGATGTTCTTTTTTCTGGATAGGCCACAGCCGGTTTGTTAGCGGACGGCCGTCACATCATCAACCGCGCCAGGGATGAAGCAAAAAACTATCGGGATGCGTATAAGTCTCAAATTCCTGGAAAGGTATAGCGATCATTTACTCTCACCTTTGCGAATAAAAAATAAAAATGGATGGTTAATTATTTCTATGGTTCACCTACTTATAAACCCCAGATCATTGCCGACAGAGTGAGTCACTACGTACAGGCCTACACATTATACTCCAGTGTCCGGCCGTTTGGCAGCAGTACCATAATCGGCACTTATGACAAGGACGGACCACAACTCTTCATGGTTGAACCATCTGGGGTATACTGGGTAAGAAGGAGGACTTTAGCGAACACGCAATTGGTGGTCAATGTTGTATGGGATCGTGTGCCATCGATAATTTTTTTTTCTTCCTTTTTACGTCGTTGTCGTCGTGTAACAGGGTTATCACGGTTGTGCGATTGGTAAAGGGAAGCAGGTCGCAAAGACGGAAATCGAGAAACTTCAACTTTCCGAGATGTCAGTACTGGAGGCAGTCAAGGAGGCGGCGAGAATGTAATTATCATGCATGATTTGAGTTTCCCGTGGTTGATCCGTCATCTAAAGATACATTGGATGAATAATATCACTTTTCCATATTCCCTGCATTCGCTAGCATTTACACAGTTCATGATGAGGCCAAAGATAAAGATTTCGAATTGGAGTTAAGTTGGGTCAGCGAGGAAAACAGAAGACATCAGTTCGTACCCAGAGATCTTGCGGCCGAAGTAGAAAGATTGGCAAAGGTACTTTATTACGAGTTTCATTATTAGTCTCTGTCACAAAGCGCGAACACAACATCCTTCTTACTGAAAGAAAAAACTTCTGGTTCATTGTTTTTTCGACTAGGAATCGCTCAATGAGGAAATGGAGGATGAATAGAGGAGGATCATGTATAATTGACAACCGTGCAAAGTCTAATTTAAATAAACGAGTTTTTAAAACTGATTTAGTAGTGGACATGGTACGTCATCATCATAACGAGGTTTAGAACCTCGAATAATGTTATTCCGCCGGTCACATGTAACGATTGTCGCAATCATTTCTTTGCGAACGCGTGCGAGAAATTGCGTGAATTAGATTATTTGTTAATGTTTATTTGTGTCACGTTCTATCTAATTTTCAAATGCCATTATGCTATTAATAAATAAATAATTATTTACAAGTCGTTGAATAATTTTTCATCGAAGTAACCACCGGTGACGGTTCACCGCTTCGCATTAGAAGCTTAGAAGCGACATAGTTCCTTAACGTATCTATTCACACCCACCAACTTTTTAACCTCGGTCACCAGCTTCAATAGTTCGTTAACTAAATGACTCGTCTTGATCAAATACGCACAATAACCAACATAAACGCGAGTTTCCAAATCTTGTTTTCGCAATTCCGACGCAGTCATCCGAATCCTTTTTGAAATCCTCTCGCCTAACCCCTGTTCACTGCCCCGACTACCCACCGAAGCGACGATATTATAGGGAGGTAACGGAACTCTGTTTTCTAGGGCTGTCGCCAGGATATAGAATGATGTCAAAATGTGTGTGATGTAATGGCACTTTGACGGATCCAACACTTCTGCCAGGTCGGTCTTCCATTCGGTGCCGTTCAGTTCGTGAAGTGTGTACTCTAACCCACTAATCAAATTGACCATATGCTCCGCGATCCCTATCATCACCTCGTAATGCTCTATGGGGAAACGACCTCTTAGAGGTGGTTCGTAAACGGTACGTGATAGCAATGAACGCTCCACTGCTATCGATCGATTTATGCGCGTGACCAACTTTGTGAACGAGGGGTTGGCGGTGAGGTAGTAGGATTTACGAGGTTCTTTTAACAACATGGAGACGGTCATCGAATAAAGGACCCCAAGATCGGCTATCGTACGTGCAAGTCGATGACGAACCTCTACACGCCCTGCATGTGGCCACGGAAGCATCATCATTATGAAGGAGGAAGTGATTCCGATGCTCACTGCGCTCGTTCGCTGTTTTTGAAAACGAAAACGATTTTAGCTTACCCAAGGAGTTCAATGAAGTTACTCGGAAGCAAAAAAGGATAGAAACCGACCTTTGCAGCGATCATGAATAGAGTGTCCTCGGGATTACCAACGCCATTCTGAGCTTGGTAGACATTAGCCAAGACCAATGGAAAATTGACCAACATGATAATTCCACCCACGGTCCACACTTTGGCATTTAAGTAGGTGAACCATAGTAACAATGAAAATGCGAATAGCGTAGATGCCAGACCAAAAGCGTTTCCCTGAGTGATCTCCCATGCGATTATTGCCATCAGAGCTCCGATACATGAACCCAGGAGACGACCAAAGAATTGAAGTACCGCACCACCCGTTGTTGGGGAGAACGACAGAACGGCGCTGACGAGGGCCCACTGTACAGAATAATCAATTGGTCAAAACTTGGCATGTTTTATCTTAAAAAAAAGATCTTTATTAATTATGATCATTAATTACCTGACCACGATAATTTTCAAACCATAGGGAAGTGCTAGGCAGAAATGCGGGTAAGCTCAAACATGTCACCGCAAAGGCATTCTTGCATGCAAGCCTCGCGTGCTCGCTATTAAACCAATTTCTTATTTTCCATAGCCTATACCAAAATTTTTGAGCAGAAGTGGATGGCGCTGTTACATCCGGGTCCGGACCAAATGCTTCATTTTCCTCCTCATCCTCCTCGTCTCGTGATTGAGACTCGAAAACGTTCAGACCGTCCTCGTCGGTTCCGCTTTTATTTTTTCTACGTTTTAAAAATGAAATCGGAGGTATCCAAAATTTCTTGTCTTTTCTACTGGCTTCCAAAAAATTAACAAGTTCAACAAGATATCCCAGGTTTTTAGAGAAACCCTTAATATTGTTCTCAAATAAAAGCAATAACAATAACATTCTTTGTGGGGAGGGACTGATATTTGGTTGATCGGCGAAAAGACGGCGCAAACCATCTTCGCGAGCCT